GACATCACCATGGCAACAGCATCACTGTGATAATGCTTTCTGTTTGAGAGTCGCTGCTGAGGGCCAATAGACGACATTTCTAATCTATTCATGCACCTTTTGAGAAATCAACAGGAGATATGAAGGACATTAAGAATAAAGTTATTAACAGCAGATTCTTAAAGGGCCAGAATGATGGATTTTCCAGCTACATAGTGTCAAATTACATCATAATCCAGTCACTATGTCACCTTCAGTTGTTATAAAATGTTTTATACATCAAATATGATTTAAAAAGAATTTGACTTCCTGATTTAACATATTCAAATTGTTCCTCCGTCTCTTTAAAAACTCCTGTTTCTCCTGAAGCTCCGCCTCCAGGAAGTCGTCCCAACATGACTCCTCTTTAACCCTTTAATGTTTTACCAGCATTGCTCCGAGCAGCAGCTCTTATAACGACCTCAGCAGGTGTTTGCCAATTGCTGCTGGCTAGTCTGGAGGAGCTGAGAGGAGGAGGAGCTTCACCTTGAAGGCGGGGCTAGGCCCACCAGGCGTTTAGCAGCTGAATGGTTGCCATGGAGATTAATGGACTTCTCAAGCATGAAAAAATCAGAGCAAAAAAACATGATGGAAAATCAAAAAGTTGGTTTTATGTAACACCGGCCCTTTAAACAACAATTTGACCTTCCGGTTCTGAACCGGGACCCGGCTCCGGTTCTGAACCGGGACCCGGCTCCGGTTCTGACTCACATGTCCAGCAGGCGGCGTCGGTTCTCCGCATGGCGCAGGCCGGCTGTGTGATGGTTCCACTCCTGCAGGCAGAGAGAGCGTCGTTAGCAGCAGAACCCAGATCAGTCGCTTCAGAACCTCTGAACAGAACCGGGTTATGAGAAGAACCCAGAGCAGCAGGACCGTTCTGCTGTGGCTGGTAAAGGTCCAATCGGCCAGTTCTGAGCTGCTCCGGGTTCTGGAGGAAAAGCTGATCGTGGTTCCGTCGGTCCGGATCCCAGCAGAACAAGAGGCCGAGGCAAAGCTGCCACTCTGACCGGGCCGGACCAGAACCTGGAGCAACCGGCGCTAACTGGGATGAAGGAGCCCAGAGCGGATGAAGCTACCTGGAGCTGCAGCCCCTAGAAACATGGGGGGGAGACCCCGCGGCAGCTGACAGCTCACACATTAACAGTTAGAGAAGCAGTGGGCGTACTCACCATGGAGGAATGAACGTCAAAGTCACAAAGAGAGCACACGTGGGGGTACATGGGGGGCGCGACCCCCAGGAAGTCCTGGATCTTCCCGCTGGAAGGCGCGCCCATCCTCCTCTGCATGAACAGGGGGTCTGACGACACCCCCATGCCGTAGCCGGACCCCGACCCCGAGCCGGAGCCGTAGCCGTCCCGCATGGAGCCGAAGCCAAAGTCTCCGGAGGACTGGTTCCGAGCCTGACCCGGAGACGGGTCCCAGCCGTCCCGTCCTCCGCGGAAAGCTGCTTCTGAGGCCGCCGCCCCGCGCTCTCCTGCCGCCCCCTTGCGGCTCTTCAGCTGCATCAGGATGCGTGGCAGCGTTTCCATGGTGATGTCCTCGTCAGGGATCTGGGCCAGAGCGTCCAGGTCAGAGGGCGACAGGCCCAGACTGGAGAACAGCTTCATGTGGCGCCCAAGAGGCCCATCGCCGCCGCCGCCGCGCCGGGTCATCTGGCCACCGCCACCATCCAGGCCCTCCATCCCGCCCATCCCAACACCCGAGGCCCCGCCCCCCATCTGGCGGCCGGGAGCCTGCTCGGCCATGTTAAAGTTGAGCCCCCGCCCCACGGAGAACGGGGTCTGGGCTCCGTCGGCCTGCTGAGCCATGACCTCAAGCCAAGCGGCCGAAAGGCTGAAACTCCTCTTCTCCGGAAGAAGCTCGGCGTTCTGCTGAGACACAACGAAGCAGAGACAACCTTCAGAAAGACCCAGAGACCGGCTGGGGGCCGACGCTCCGGCGCCAAGGTCAAGAGTCAACCAGAGCCAAGGTCAAACCCTGCAGACAGCCGCTGCAGCGCCGGTCGGCGCGTCTTCAGCATCGACTCAGCGCTAACCAGCTGGAAACGTCTAGAACACTGAAAACTCCTGCTCCCAGCTGGCAGTTCCTGGATCACCTGACCCGGCTCTACAGAACCACAGTTACAGCTCAGAGATTCAAGACACACGAGAAAAGTCAAGAAATTCAAACTGAGAATCTAAACGTGTGGTAGTCCTAAAGTCAGGAAAACAAGCAAGCAGGAGGAATAACCCCGGCTGGTTCCACTGACCCCGTCCTAAGGCCCCTCTCCACCAGGCTGCCTCTAACCGGTTCTGTACCAGTTTGGTCCCGGCCAGATTCACTTCCCATTAGTATATCCGGCGCGGTTCTGCCCGGCTGTTCACAGACCGTGGTTCCTACTTCAGGGGTAGCACTAACTGCACCTAGCCAGGTACAGCACCGAGGCAATTTGATTGGCTGCTGGCCGCCTTCACTGATTGGCTGGTGATTTACGTCATGCTGCTATCTGCTACCAGAGCTGCTCAGTACGGAGGAGCGGTAGGTTTAGCAGCAGAATGAAGTAGCAGCTCTGAAGAAGACAGAATGGAGAAGAGAGAAACGCTGCAGCTGCTCAGCTTCCTGACGGCTGCAGTTTGAAAGACCAGAACTAAATTAACTTGTCATGTCAGTTTTATTTTCCCATTGATATAAAACAATAAATAAAGTTCATGCGTGGCTATTGGTTTACATCATTTGTCCGCATTACATAAATCCAAAAGGATGTATATTTAAAAAAATAATAAAGTGCCAGAAAGTAATTAAATTCATATGTATAGTGAAATAATCAGCTGAACCGGGTCTTCTTATGTTTGGGCCAGAAATGCATTTCTACAAGATAAAAAAAAATATCTGGATTTATTTGGGTCAATCAGAACCAGGAGGTTCTTCATTCCTGAGAGGAGAGCCGACCCCAGCTGCCGCTGCTCACGGCCCACCCGCTACCTGGGGTAGAACCAGACCGAACCGGACCAGGTATTAACCGGTTAGAGGACGACCTGCCGGTGGAAAAACGCTTTTAGAGAAACTAAACCTGGTAACTTTCTGACTCTGGAGCATCGCCAGCAGCGTTTTGAAGGAGGAAGATGCGAGTTAAATTCCTGCTGCTCCAGTCAAGATCACAGGTTGAGACATAAAGCTGCTATTATTATTATTATTATTATTATTATTATTGAATTCTAACAGAACTGGCTTGGTTCTGGTTCTGGCTTGAGGATTTGTAACCAGACTCCAATAGAACCAAAAGTCTTCGGGTCAATCTGACCCTTTGACCGATTTGCTGCCAGTTCTCCATGTCTATAAACCTTTGCATATCCTCTCTGTTAATACTCACCATTTAAATGAAAATATATAACTAGAGATAAAAAAGAAATACTCCAGCCTGAAACCAAGGAGACTCATCCTGCTGATATAGATACTGGAGTCAGGAAACCACAATCCAATCCATAAAGCATATTTAAAAAACTATACGTTTACCCAAAGTGCTATACAGTAAAAGCAGATAAAAACATACAGCAAACAAAATATAACGTACTAAAAAGAATACAAATGTATAAAATAGAAAACGACAGACTCGCATTGCGTGAAATGTCACTGAAAAGAAATGAGACAAAAACAGCAACAGAAGACGCTTGCCTAATATTTAATGGCAACTTATTCACCAGGGCCGAGCAACAAAAATATAGAAACTTAAATTCAATAATCGATGGATAAAACCGTAAATCAACTCTAGAATCCATATATGTTCATTTTAAGGTGAATAAAGTCTGAAATATTTCCATAACTCAGCGGTAGAAAGCAAATCTGTTCGGTGTAAGCTGACCGTTAGCTTCCTGCTAAGATAACGTCCGGAAACATAGCAGCAAATAAAAACAGTTTAAAAGTCATCGAGTCATTTCTCCTTGAATTACATAAAATCTAATCACTTCAGCGAACAGTGGAAGAAATTTAAAAAAAAACAACTCAATAATAAAAAAGGTTTAAAAGTTTAGCTTTAATAACAGAAGCTAATGTTAGCTTTGGACGCTAACACAAGGCATTATTTCCCGCTTTTGGGCAAAAAAATCCTTTCTAAAAACCCGAACCTAAACCCAATGGTTCCATGTCATTACTGCTTCATTGTCATTAAGCAGAAACACAGTAAATGCATGCGCTTTATGGATTTATTAACTTACCACAAATTTTCGAGACAAGACGCGGATTAGCCACGGCTGATGCTACTTCTTCTTCGCCTTTGGCGTTACACCACTTCCTGTTAGCGCCCCTGCTGGAGTCTTCCCACAACAGCCTTTTCTCCTCTACTTTACGGATGCTGGGACACCCCTAAAACAGTCTAAACTCGTCCCTGGACTGGCTTTATTCTTGATCTGAGAACGTTGACATCTTCTTTTTACATCGGTCATATCATGGTTCACCCGTGGATCTGACCGGATCTTAGAGGTGTTCGGGTACCGGCTGTTACGCTGTTTGAAACTGTGTGCCAACCACGCCCACCCGCCGCACCATTTGTCTCTCCGGAGGTGAAATAGTGCGGAGCCGTTGTGTTGACCTACTTCTGCCGTGGCGTTTGCCAGCACCAGTTAGGGTTTGAATCTGAGGTCGTAGGCTCATTCATCCCACAGTTTCCTTCCTCATGTATCACTGAAACAGCCTCAGATATATTTTAACTCATCGAGAAGATTTGATCAGGTCTACAGATATTTAAATGTTTTCTTCTAACTTATTATCAGGAACTCCATGTTCTATTTCCTAACAGATCAAACGGACCGTGAAGGCAGCATGCCCCTCCAGCCAATCAGAAGGCAACCCTCAGTGACATAGTAGATGTAAACAAACAGAAGCTAAGCAGCCATTTCGGTTCCGGAGGAGTTTTTCTGCTCTTTGGGCGTTGGAGAGTTTTAGCGTCGAATAAATTAGTTCGCTGGGTGTTAAAAGGTAAGAAGCGGAGTTAGTGGAGGTTCTGACCTGGTTCTGGTTCTGTGTTCTCAGGCTAGCTGTGTGGGTCCCCTGCCCCTGGTGAGTCAGCGGCCCTCACGGCCAGCCTGGCCGCCCGGGGCGGCCTGACTAACGGCCACCTCCTTCACCCGTCCGCAGAGACATGAAGGACCCGACCATCGGAACCACCCCCACCCCCACAGGTACCGGAGAGGTCGTCCTCAGCAGCCAGTTCGGTTCCGAGGAGGATCCGTTTGCGGAGTACATGTGGATGGAGAACGAGGAGGAGTTCAACAGACAGGTGAATAACTGGAGCCGGTGTTTAGACCCGCGGTGCCGGTTCCGACTCGGTACAGTCAGCTGGTTCAGGTTCTGAAGGAATTTGGTGGCGCCAGCAGTTTTCTCCATGTTAAATCTGATCCAGAACCGTCTAGAGTCTTGGATTCTGGTCCCTTTCCTAACTAAGTTGGACCGGCTGTCAAACCTCTGGGTCGGGCTTAAGCCGGGTCCTGCTAGAACCTCCTGGACTCCAGAGGTTTCTAGTTTTTCTCAATGTTCGATCAACATCCAGAACCCAACCCAGTCACAATGGTCGGGTTCTGTAGAAATGCACCGATGTGAAAAACCGAACGATACTGATATTTATATTGCTGTTATGGCCGATATTTTCCATGCCAGATCTTTCTCCCACAGTCCTTTGCTGCATCGTCATCGCGTTCATTTGAAGATAACTGATGCATCATGAAGCATTTGAAGAGAACTGACCCAGTTCCATTTAAAGACCCAGTTCTGGTTAAAGACCCTGAAGTCAGTGAAGCCAAACTTACTTTATTTATATTTGCTTAACTCGACAACTTGAAAAACTTAATAAAAGAAGTGGGATATATTTCAGCTGGCTCAAACGTTTAGTTTGTTTAGTATGCAGTTAGTTGATTCAGGGTGGGAATATTTTACAGTTACTGAAGCTGAAGAATAGAAACCAGAAGCTCTGAACACGGTCTCTCTGCCTGCCTGGTTCTGATCGGTACTGACTGGTCCCGGCCCAGGTGGAGGAGGAGCTGTGGGAGGAGGAGTTCATGGAGCGCTGCTTCCAGCAGATGCTGGATGAGGAGGAGCAGTGGGAGTGGTTCATCCCGTCCAGAGACCTCCCCCCCGGCGGTGTGACTCAGCTGCAGGACCAGATCAGCCTGCTGGTTCTGGACCCGGACATTCGCCCCGACACCTCTGACCTGGAAGTGGTGGTGAGTTGAGCCAATCGGGAGCCAGGAACGCCTTGGGGGCCCGCCTCCTGTCCCTGACTCCTTTTCCTCCTGCAGGTGAGGAGCAGCCTGAATCCAAACGCCAAGGAGTTCACCCCGGGGATCCAGAAGCACAACCTGTGACCCCTTAGCTCCACCCCAGCCTCTCCCCAGCCTGCTCTGTGACATCATCAGCAGGAAGTCCGCCGTTCTCCAGCCGCCGCTTGGACCTTCAGCCTCACCTGTTGCCAAAGTTCTGCTGTCGCCTCGCATCTCTTCTCACCACGTCTGCTGCCTCCCCTGGGGTCGCCTGGGGTCACCTATCTGTCTGTCTGTTTGAGGAAACTCTCTGAATGTAAACCAGCTCCTTCCTGTTTCTGTCACCTGTTCTCCCCTGAACCTTTGGAACCCGCTCCAGAACGACCTTCAGGTTCTGTCCTGACTCTCCTCACCTGACCAGGTGTGATGCAGCCTGATCCAATCAGAGTCCCACCCGACCTGGTTCTGTCAGTCTTTCCTCTCGTTTTTTCCCTGAATCCTTTGCGTGGCTCTGCTGCTTTACTTCCTAACGTCTTTAAACTTTTTCTAATGTTCTGTAAAAAAAAGTCTGATAAAGAAAAATATGTAAAAAAAAAAAAATCTATTTTTTCTTAAAGTAGTGATGAAAATAAATGTTTATTGAGGAAAAGCGGCTGGGTCTGGTTCTGTCCGCCGGTTCTGTCCGGCACCCTAAATGATTAGATATTGGCCCATTTTCACTCGTTAATCAGTTATTTGGGGAAAAGGATGAGTGCACCTTTCAGTGCTGTCCAGCAGAGGGCGCTGTTGTCTGTGGATGGACCTGGACCTTCAGAATCAACTCCGGCCCATCGGGCCTCAGTGAATCAGATGAACTTATGGTTCTGTAAAAAGACGTTTGTTCCAGGAAGAGGTACAAAAACGGCCAAACATAGAAAAGCATCAGAAAGACTAAGTCTGCACTGCAGACACGGTCACACTCAGTCAGTTATCTGGACTAAAACAGGTTTTTAAAGGAAGAAACTTTAAAAAAGAAAAAAAAGCTCCTTCTCGGTTAGTTTCTACGGATCCTCCAGGGAATGTGGGGATTATTTTTCT